TATGTCACCATAATAGGGACACAGTCATGAGAGTAACATCCCCACACCAAGCCAAACATGCTTGTTGGTGATGACCCTTCTAGAGTTGTACCCAACTCTCATTAGCCATTTCCGGATTGTTCTCATAGAGACCAATGGTAACCAGGGGTGCTTCAGATCAATGCTTGCGGAGAATGGTTCTCGTCGAGTGAGCCTCAATAGTGCCCTATCTTAACGATCTGACGCCACCCTGTTTTGTCCAGAACGCGGGCAATCCTTCATCTCATTGGTGTCCGTATGTTTACTGACCAAATTACTGTCGGCTACGTAGTATACATTCATTTCCGGACTAATGGATTTAAAGAACAGATACCAATTATTTGCCATCTTTGACCCCATGATAATCTTCTTCGTATAATGTAGACCGAAATATAATTCAACATCGTAACTCTTGGAGATGAAATACCGAAACAATACCTGTCAAACTTCGTAGGTTTGATTCAGGACATGCTCCATGGGTGTGTTTGGGAAACGCATTCCACCAAGTGCACATGCAATAATTTCTTAAAAGAACATTATTATCTCACGTCACACATGAGCTAAACCTGACCACAGTTCAGTTAACGGTCCACGTCCTTAGGGGTGATTTACGTTTTTCAAGCTGTATTGCTAATGCAGTATCATATAGATGATGGAAAGATGTAGACGTTTAATCTGAAAGCTCATTTGAAAAAGACAGGTAGGAATGAATTTCAAGAATGACATGACAAGAAATATAAACACAGTTGGAATCTTCTTTATTTTCATTTTCTGTACAGTCCTCACAGTTGATACTTCCGCCGTTCCAGCATGTCTGTTGTCGAGGACCACGACATGGGAGGTAACTCTATCAGCTTCCTAGAGGTCGATGGCTTTCGGTATCCAATCGTTGACGCGGAAATAGTCAAGGACATGTCGCATGCTGAAGGTCAAGGATGACGATATCTTACTACTGGCTTATCCCAAATCAGGTAACTTCACTGATATAAGCATACCTATGTATATCTTCAGCGCGTGACATTAGGTTTTCTGTCAGCAATAAGGAAAAGGATAGTCCCATTAGAAGCGGAATCCAATGTCATCTGTAGGATTTACAGCACATTTTATTCACTTTGTAAATGCCTACAAGTTACTCAAATACTTTCAAACTCAGTATGGTAATCTTTTCCTTAGTCTCTTACCTCCATGAAAGTATACCTTGTTTGAACTTACGTAACCACAGCACAGGGATTCCAAATATACAACGACAAAAAATGAGGTCTGCATTCAGCCGTATCGCAGCCATATTGCAGCGGTTTGTAAATAATCGAACCTGGACCAGACAATCCAGGGATCAACATCATAAGCATCTTTACGAGGGGGCCGCCAGTGTCTTTGTTAAATCTGAAAGTTTCTTGAATTGTCATTTACATTTCACGTTCCATGAATTTGAACACACAGATGTAAATGACTGAGGAAAAGAACCTAGTCGCATCCCCACAGCGTGCGCCGATATTCTGAAAACCCTTAATTTAACAATGATACATAGCTACTATTAAGGCAGCTACAGGTCATGGTGACTTGGTTTCTTGGATATCCACAACTGAAAAGGGAAAGGGACATCAATCTAAATCTAGCCTTGATGAATCACACCCATGAACATCATTGGTTAGAATTTGTCTTGAGCACCCCATGCTTGTCCTATTAGACGGTCGGGCGTGCTGATTTGGATGATGCATGTCAGGAAAATACATCCTTCACGTTAAAGACCACAGTGTCTTAATGAGTGAGTTTTTATGGCCAGGTTTATACGGTACTAACTAATATAACAAGTGCAATGGTAAATGTAAATGCCTCATGACGCCCAGGTGCACACTGGCTTTGGGAAATCACATCCATGCTGCTCCAGGGTAAAGCAGAGACCATCCCTCACTGGAAGAGTAAAGTCATGGTGGAGCTCCAGCCAAAGGAAGTCATAAACGAATTCCCAGGATCCCCTCGCGTCCTCAACTCCCATGTCCGGTATAACCAACTTCCGGTACAAGCGAGAGAGAAGAAGTGTCGAATTATCTTTGTCCTGAGAAATCCTAAGGATGTTGCCGTGTCCTTCTTTAACCATCACAAATATTTCAAGAATCTATATGGGAACTACAATGGATCTTTAAAGGATCATCTCCCGTTCTTCCTGGCTGGGAAAAGTATGGCATTTATTTGTTGTTTGTTTAACACCGCACTCAAAAAAATATCCAGTTTTACGAAGAAGATCCATATATGACTGAGTCTGAATCAGTGTAGACAATCCAGTGTAGTCGCGGTGAACAAATTCTAACACAAACTCACCTCCAAGAACCCTTGCAAAGAGTTCCATTTCATATTCTGATCACAAAAGCTCTCCTCAGCCCCTTTTCGGTGTCTGATGTATTTCAAGTCATATCTTATAATGTTTATCATTACCCTCGTGTAGCGGACTACGGATCCTGGTTCGACTATGTCCTCGAGTGGCAGAGGGACATCGAGGCCCAGCAACACCGACACCCAATACACATAATGTACTATGAAGACATGAAGCAGGTCAGTGATTTTACAGCTTATGCTTACAGATAAAGTTTCAGAGAGAAAATAAATATATTTTACGACCCCAAACAAATCCACATCTAACATTTGCTTTGCTTTTTTTGTTTAACAACTTTCTCAGCAACATTCGTGTTACATAACATAATTTATAGGCTGAACCGTTGTATGAAGGATGATATTCTAAAGCTGGTTGGGTGAAACGTCAATGTGAACAATATTTCAGTAATGCTTGATGTGGAAGGAAGGCTCCTAGTGAAGCAGGCCTTAGACCTTTACTCTTTACAAGGAGCATGTGCTGATGTCGACAGTTATAGAAACTTGGGTCTAACTTGGATTCGAACCCACGTTTACAGGCTTCTGCTGTGCCCATGGGACGCAACTCTGGAAAGCGAATTGTGATGACTTGAACGCCTGGACCAACCATGTCCCCTTATAAACCAGAATCCCGTACATTGATAGTATAAACACTTTGTTGTCCTTGACCTCAGAACCCCTCGGAGGAAGTCCGGAAGTTGGCAGTGTTTCTGGGACTACCTGCTGATGACTCGCTGCACAGCGCCGTGGCAGAGAAATGTTCCTTTGAGAATATGAAAGACGACAAGGAACCATATGATCCAAAGTTCGATGGCCGACTTTTTGTTTACAGGAAAGGTAAGCTACAGGAGTCAAGGGTATATAACTACGTAACTGTTTTTGTTTGTTTCCCAATATATACGTTTCTTTCAAAATTTCTTCAAATTTACATGTCTGATGTTTAAAACTGTTGAAACAAAATCACCATGTAATGGTTTATTGTTAGCGAAATGGCTTCCAACTTACCTATGCCCGTTTATATGTTGTGTGGCTCTAAATCCCACAGTTTGGCATATATCTCTTAGGATTCATGGTTGCTAAAGGCATAATGGCAAATGTGGCATTGGAAGTACTCGGTTTCAACAACTTTGGTAGACACTCTCGACGGGGTGATTGAAGTTTCATCTGCATTGTAAAGCCCAATAGTTGAAGCTAGATTGACAAAGCAAGTTTTTGCTGTGCTCATCCGTGGTCGGGCGAAAGGGAAGACATTCTCAAGCATGTTTGCATCGGCGTGGTCGCGTCTGGGACAAAAGAGCCACGGTCAGTCTAAGATAGTACCCTTTCTTTGTGCATTCTACCTAAACTAGTTAAAAGGGCCCTTGAGACCTTAGGGGAAAGTGGTGATATGTTCATCCTAGCTAGGAGTCAAATCAGTCAAATTGTGGAAAGATTATGAAAGTTCATAGGCTCCACGTGGTTAGTCCAACGTTCATGGTACAAATAACAGAGGGGATTATGTGGTCCTGGTAAGTCCCATCATTAGCTCAATGTCCACTCCCTTTCTACACGCTGCCCAGACAGAGAATTTAATTGAATAATATAATAATATGTGTATTTATACTGCGCTTGATTCCATACAAAAGAGTATGGAAACTGCTACATATAAAGGTGATAGGAGTGCTATAATAAATAAAACATTTGTACATAAAAGGTTGAAACTTTTCAGGATATTTTGTTAAACACTGTAATACCCGTGAAGAATATTGATCTTCAGCAACCCATGCGTGTCGTAAGAGGCGACTAACGGGATCGGGTGGTCAGACTCACTGGATTGTTTGACTGGTTCCCAGTTGCGTACTCGATTGTTCATCACAGACCGCTGCCATATAGCTGGAATATTGCTGAGAGCGGCGTAAAACTAACCTCACTCACATACTGTAATACATTTTAAGAGGAATGTTTTCAAGGCACATTTGCAGGAGTCATGGGATGTTAATAGTCTGTGTTAGATAGTTCCATAGTAGATGGTTCCATTGTGATTGAGCTCCATAACTGAAAGAGCGGAAACCAACGAATTTTAGTTTACGTCATGGGATCACCAGTATATACTGTATATGTTGATCTTCCAGAAAAGCACTACGTATACCTAGTCGAAAACAAACATTTTTCGGTAACCTGGGTAGCAATATATACTCATGCCAATAATGGTTGTCACCCCCCTCCCACCCCAACCCCACAGACACCTCACACCCCACCCCGACACACCCTCTCCAATTAAAAAATTGAAGGGGGTGACAACCATTATTGGAATGACTATATGTGCAAATAACCATTTATGATGCTTTTTATTACATTCGTTAAATTATATATAACACTATTTCCCAAAAGATTTGAAGTCCCAGACATTGTGGTGGAGTTAGTAGCAGAGCAAAGTCGTGCTCGTACATTTAGCTGCACTGCCTGACAGAGAAGAGGATGGTGCTTAGTTACCCACTGAATCAGTGTGAACTCGTGTTACTGGTTCCAGGCCAAGTGGGAGACTGGCAGAACTGGCTGACACCAGAACAGAACGAGATGTTGGAAAAGGTGTACCAGGAGAAGATGAAGGACAGCAAGTTCCAGGACAAAATCAGGTTCACGCTGACATAGGCAGAAGTACCACATACATTATACGCAATGTCATATATAATGACGGAATCAAATACTCAGTAACCATTACAACGATGTACATAGCCCATACAACAGTATGTGACTATTCAATGTATAGCTGCTGTTCTATTTCGTACTACTTTACACAATGTTCATTTTGCAGAACATATGGAGAATGAAATATCCTTTCTCACCTTGTCAGGTTGCTGGAACTTTGGGGCATTGGACATTACAGCGTGCAAGGTTTGATTAAATATAGAACCGTTGTCGACCCGTTGAGCTTTAGGATAGGGTTTCTGAAAAGGGATTGGAATCACAATTGCTTCAAACTAAACATGCTAACAGGATAATGGCAAACACAATCTGATGTTTGACTACTCGATTTTCTTTTGTTAGTATTGGGGAAAAGAAAATATTAAGAGACGATATAAAACAAAGAGTAGTTGATATGGATACATGGCCTTGGCATGGTTCAATATTAACATCTGAAGTCCTTTAGAAAGGTTTCTGTTGGAACAGAGGCTTGTTCTTTATAATAGGTAAACACTATGTTTGTGGAAACTTCACGTTCAGGAAAAGATGCTCACCAGATATTGTTCATTTTTATAAATGTTATCAATTTGATATCTTGATAAAAGTTTACAGTCTGAGCAACTGTGCAAGTTTTCGGTGTCTGCGTTAAAAGTTTTCAATGCGTAACATTTAACACTAGAGCGTATTTTATGTGAGCTTCATTCACTACTCCAGTGACGTCCTGTTTTGAAGAGATTGTATGTAAGCTTCAATAACTAAAAGGAAGCTAAATCTAAACTTTGGATCGCCGGACGTTAAGACAACATAAAGATAACAGTCTATCAGTCAGAGTTTTGCTGACAACGTTTCCAAACTGAACGTTTCCCCCAACACATCCCCCAACACGCAACGTTGTACCATGCTGATTTCAACAGAGTTGTTGGTCCATTGTCTTAAGTAAACTACTATAAATCACTTTTGAAATGTAGCTGTCCTGCCGAAAGGAAGACTCATTTTGTGTTTTCAATTGGATTTTGATTGAAACAGCTCTTATATTTGGTATGTCTTTAATACTTTGTGTTTTATAAGCCTTCAAAATGTTTCTCCTCTCTTTTAGAAATAGCAGAACTATTTCGAAACATAAGGCTTCAAAGGCAAACGTGGTCAAACCTGTGACATTCCAGCAGATTCAAGTTGCATTTATTAACGTATATGTTCATAATAATATAAGCAGAACAGTTATTCTTAAATCAGGTTTCAAGACTAGGCCCTATAAATGTCTATCTCATACATATTTTACTGTGACTGAAACCACGTTTCGCTCTTGACACAGCAATCATATAAATGTCCACAGTCCAAATTGTGTCTTGTGAAAAGTGACTTTTCTATATTGTCTTTTAGGTCTAAAACAGATTTTCTTCGAGAGAAGAGAAATTGCAAGCCACGGTCTATTCAGATAAATACATGTAACTGGTCTAGCCGATAACAAGCTAACTGAAAGTGTAAAAAGTATAATCACATATATCACATTTAACCACTCTCTGGAAAAGCATTGTGTATGGCGACAAGCCGTGGGGGCTGTGCCAACTTAAGCTTGAGAGCCACGAAAAGGGTTAGCATGTCCCGCACCCGCCATTTACAACAAAAATGGCTGAAAATGAAAGTGTATTTTGCCTGGCCCCACACAGCAGTACTCCTGCTATACGACGGCGGTCTGTAAACAAAGCAAACCATCAGGTGATCGATGGACCGGAAAATACAGTTAGATAATTATGAATCATCACCTCTGTGTAGAATGAGATTACAATGCTGAAAGTAAAGAACAGCGTTTGGGAAATAGGTTGTTATTTAGCAACAAGAAACAGACAGGTAGTCTGTCAGATCAAATGCCTTTTTTGTCGGTTCTCATTAACCTTACGCTGCTGTGATTGCTCGTTTTGTTGCATAAATTATATTTGAAGCCAGGGAGCTTGCGTGTATTTGCGCTGTGAGGAGTTTGCATGGTACCGCATGGCTGTCTGTGAAATGTTGGTTTCTTTTTCTCAACACGAAATGATGCTGACACAGTGCCGAAATTGAGGTCAACAATCAGTCTGTCATCGTAAATATTGAAAAACAAATCAAACTGAAATATGTTTCGTCCAAATAGATTTTCTTCCACATGTCTTGGTATAATGAAAACCAAACTAAGCCCTACATGCATTAGCTGATCCATTATAAGGGAGAAAAAGAATACGGAATACATACACTATAGTAACACTCCTTCCTCAATCGTTTATATGTTTCAAACATAATGGGAAAGTGTTGTTTGATTATGTAGAGGTTCTTCATGAGAACCGTATTCTGCCCGACGATCCTTTTGTGAAGCAAGTCAAAGGCTTTTGTAAATGCGCGAAGGATGTTTGACACATTATCAATGTCAATGTTAATTTTTGTGATGGATTAGGACTACTGGACGGTACAGGAATGACTGTCTATAAAGTAGTGATGGGAACTAGTTTATTTTAGAACCGATCAATAATCAAAAACATTCGTTTTTCATTTTGTTTATGTAAAGCTCGTTAATGCAGGTAACAATAAAGAATAAAAACATGTAGTTGTTTCTTTGTATATATTTACGAACTGATCAAAATGCATTTTCAAATGTCATAACTTGCAGCTTTAAACATCATAAATTATGAACAGAAACTGCATCGAATCGTTAAGACACCTTCGATCACTGAACACAGAAACTGCAATACGCACTTGTACTGAACACAGCAACCGACTTGTGTAGGATAACGTTCTGCAACTCTGGTTTAGCAATTTAGCAATAGTACAATATACTGTAACCGAAAAGTGGAACCTGAATGTCTTATCTTTAAACAATTAACGCAACTTTACCTTCAAATACTTGATTACTTAAGCAGCATATGTAATGTATCCAGCACTTGACCATAACAATAATCACAAATCCAAGCAAATAGTTTATAATTGTTTGTTTGTTGTTTAACGCCGCACTCAGCAATATTCCAGCTATATGGCGGCGATCTGTAAATAATCGATTCTGGACCAGACCACCTAGTGATCAATATCATGAGCATCGATCTGCGTAATTTGTATACGATGTGAGCCTGACTACCCGATCGCCTCATACGATAAACATGGGTTGCTGGAGACCAATTCCATCCCTGATCTTCACTGGTAGAAATAAATGTTAATAGCTCAAGGCAAACCATACAAGCTCATTTGCTTCTTGTTTCACAGGTTTGTTTTCAACAATACATACATACTGTAATGTATTAAACGACAAATGTAAGTATGAAATTTACAACTGTAACCATTGACTCAGAGTACATATCATCAAAAACTTTAGATTTCTAAAAAATCTCTGCCAACCTATGTAGTTATGGGTACACTCATCAGTGATTTGTCAATCAAACACAGCCTCTGTTAAAACTGAATTTTTTACAAACATTTGACCTCTAAAACAGTAACCCACTTTGTAAGAACAATCAGCATAGAGCAACTATTGTTTCATAACCAATACTGTAACAAATACCAAACATTGGACGCATGAATGTATTGAAGTCGCAAACAAAAGGTCAGTAATCCAAAACAAATCTCATGTGACGCAGACATGTTAAACGGTGTTTTACACTTCACACACACCAAGAATACTGAAACAACTCTCAAATTCCTAAATCTAAGCAAATCAATTGCTAGATGTAAGCCATGCAAGCCCATATGCTTTAGACTCTGAAAATGTGGAAATAAGTCTTTCACCGATATATGCTGAAAGTTTAAAACTTAAATCAACACATATCTTATAAAGAACACTTCACAAAACTGCTGTATATTCTACTTTTCACTTAGTAAAAATGCACTTAGGCTCATGAACGAGAGTGTTAAGGGTATGGCAGTAATCAATACAGAGATTTGAAAAATCAACTATTCATCTTCATAACCAGAGTCAATCAAGGGAAGTGATTTCTGTTTTTCTTGAGAAATACCATCGTAATATCATTGTCTGGGGCCATTTCTTCTTGTTGACATAATTTCCATTAAGGCCCATTTCTGAGGATACACTGGAAGCTGGAATACATAGATGTTTTGGCTACTTTGGCAATCATAGGATATACATTTGTAAACACAGTTTTCACTACACCAATGAAGTGGTGAATCAAAACAGGGAGGTTCAGTGTTGTAGACAGGGGGTTGAGGAAATTGTTTTTAATCACACATATGTGTGACCTTTGTGTGACCTAATCAACTGTTGAAACCCTTAAGCCCCACCCTCCTTTGGGAGTCTCCTTCCGACCCAGGAGTGTGTGTGACCTTCAGGTTGACCTTAGTGGGCTGTGATTATTATTCAAATATTTTATGAGTTTGCCGACTCGAGTTTTCACACAGCAAAATCTCTTTTCAACGTAGAATTAATAACACTATGCATATGAGGGGAATTCAGCTGCTATTTATTAGGTCAAAAGTTGTCAAAATATCAGAGCGCATTTTGTTAAATCAAAGGTATCACTAGCCAGTTTAAAATACGCTGTCATTGGTGATTTGGTACACAAGGAACAACTCCGAATGTTTACATATCTGTGAACAATAAACGATTGTAGCTGTTAGCAAATAAAATTCATGCACCACGTAGGCCTGTATATGATTATTGCGTGCATGAATGGGGCGCAGTCTATGTACTGCTACTACTAAGAGCAGAATCGTTTGCTCGCTGAGTCGGGCCGTAACTGAAGAGACATGTGACAGCTTTGATTGAATGAAATAGTGTAAGGTGTTATGTTTGTTAAAAGCACCTCCAACCAGTCATTAAAACTGACCACCATTTTAAGTATTTAATGCTGTCATTTGTATCACCATGACTTATGCTTATGCGAGTACAGATATGTTCAAGTAGGTGACAGTTGGTGCGGACCTGAGGGGTTGATGTGTTGAGCTTCCTGTGTTTGGCTTCCTGTGCTCGCAAAGTTAGCCTGTTCAAGTTCACCAGTAAAGGTCAGACAGTAATCATGTGTACATGGAATGGTTGTTGATAATTTTCAGCGTGGTGACGAGTGTAGTGTCACATATGGTCAGCTTCCGTAGTTTAAAGGTCAGACTGTAATCATGAGTACATGGCATGGCTGTCGATAATTTTCAATGTGATCTTGAATGTATGCTGACAAGTGGTCAGCTTCCGTTTTGTAGGGGGAGAAATGTCTGACCGGAACTAAATACAGGAAATAGTAAGCAGTTGAGGATTGATGGTCACTGAATATCTCAAGTAGGGTGTCAAGTGGTTGTACAGTGATGAAATGATTTAGCATTTGTCATATATAACACTGAATAAGAAAACAAACCTACATTTTCTTCTCCTGTAAAACTTTCAAGTGCTTTTACTCAAGATTTTAAAGCTGAACTTTACTCTCAAACTGCAAACATTAAAAAACCATCATATGTCCATGAATACTATATATGACACTTTTTTGACATCATGAGACACATAGGTTACTCACATGTCGTTAGCCGCTCTTATTCCACAGACAGTACAATGAAATACTGGTGTAAGCTTCTTGTGACTGTATTGTGCGGGGTATGAAGAGGTTGGGACCTCCTGGTGTTAAGAATTGTATTGTAGGTTAAATGTATTCAATGACATAGGGGAGGATTATTTATCAGTTGTAAAACAAAGATTTGCACAACGAACAGTTGTCTCATGTCAATCCTCCAGCAATACATTAAGCGAGTGAGTGAGTTTAGTTTTATCTAGCACTCAGTAATATCCCAGCTATATGGTCTGTAAATAATCGAGTCTGGACCAGACAGTCCAGTGATCAACAGCATGAGCATCGATCTACCCAATTGGGATATGATGATGAGAGGTATCAACCATGCCAGCGAGCCTGACCACCCGATCCCGTCAGTCGCCTCTTACGACAAGCATATGTTACTGAAGGTTCATTCTAACCCAGACCTTCACGGGTACAATACATTAAGAAACAAGAGAGATATACAGGTTTCATTGTTTATTAGCTCCGTTTCAAATGAGTAGGCTTTAGGATAGGAGCTCTCCCAAATGTCTACTTTACATGTTGTGCTAATTGTCTTATTGTCCTTCCTCATCGTCCTGTCCAGAAGCTTCAATCTCTACGTCAGATGTCATGTCTTCATCATAATCATCAATTAAGTCTTCCACCCAAGATTTATATTTACGTGCTGGCGTAAACATTAAGTCGTCGAGCACGACAACATTCACAACACTGGGGTTCAGAAACTCATCCTTTTCGAGATAAGAAGGAATGCCTTGATGAAATTCAACGTAGGGATAAACACAGGCTTGAATGGCATTATACAATGGCTGCCATCGTTTGTAGAACCATATAATACGTTCAGGATAAGGTTTTATGTTCATCCGTTCTAAAAGCTGCTTCACTTTGTAGGATTTACCACAGGAGGTGGGCCCTGAGACGATCATCGTAAATGGCTTTCTTAGCCTAAATTCATCCAATAACTGGGTAGTACTTTCTGATGAATGTGGTTGCACTGGTTGCATCATAGGTGATGGTACTTGTGGTGGTGGTGAAGGAGGAGGAGAGGGAGGAGAGGAAAGAGCAGGAGGAGGAGGAGAGGGTTGTTGATGTTTCTGTCTTCTATGTCTCAACATATTGTCTGTCCTGGAAAAGTCTGATAGCACACGGGACACGTTGTTGACTGCATGGTGGTCTGAGTCTAAATGGCAGGGAACCTGTCTACTGGAGGCTTTATCTAAAAAAGTCGTCTTCCATTTCTTCATGGGAATCTGTGAGGAACTGTTTTTTTCCAGCTTTAGTTCCCCAGTTTATTGGTTTCTTCTGCATCTGAATAAGAGCCTTGGCCTGTTCGACCACTTGTTGAGTAGGGGCAACAAAATTAATCTTAGGTTGCTCTGAGGTTTCTGGTTCTTTTTCTTTGCCTTTCTTCCACTCTGGGTCATACAGTTCCAAATATCGATCCACAGACATAATGGCAGAATTTTTTCCTCCATGCATTATAGAATGATAAGAATCTCCTTTCCCCTTCAGCTTGGAACATGTAAAACCGTGTCCATTTATCTGCATCGGGTACGAAGAATTTGTGTTGTGGATTATTCATGATGAAAACCAAAACGGGAGCGGCTTGAGATTAAGTATCACTGTCACTGGTCCACAGATAAATGAAGCTGGATTGCCCTCGTGGTCTTTTATATAGATATCCACAGTCTGAAAATCTCTGTGAATCATAGGGACATACTGACACTGAGAAAATGAAAAAGAACGTTCTTTTGCTTTCCCGTGAGACATAAATGTCTGAGTAAAGGTTGTTTAGTTTCTCCAACATATGATGAATCGCACAATGAGGAATAGACATATATGTCAAGACGTTCCGATTTGTTTTATCTATGTCCCAGGACAATATAGATATTTCTGTTAGTCCTATCCTCCACCTTTGGTCAAGATGTAATGGTTCATTCAAACCCACTCTCAACTTAAAAGGTTTGTTGTTAGGATAGAGGTGTTCACTATCTGTACTTCTGATCGTAATGTAAACTAGCCACATAAAGAAAATGTGCATTGTCAAAATATTATCCCAGTTCATAAG